GATCAACGAAGTACACTGCTGAGGGGAGCAACGGTTGGGTAGGAGGGGTCTGCCACGCCATGTGGTCACCTCTGGGGCAGGGGGGGATCAAACTCATGCGGAAGTGGCTTTAGCTTCTCAGTGCAGTGCTTTAACCCGCTGTGCCACCAGGGAGGGCCTGATATTACTGTTTTTGTTTTTTGTTTTTTGTTTTTTTGTTCTTTTTTCCCCCACAACCCTCAAGAGAAGTAGCAGAAACTAGGGTAAAGAATGGGATCTCAAGCTTAGTCTGATTTCCTACTGATAGCATGGTTTTCCATCACATCTTTATTCCTGGTGGTGGTTACGGCAAGCAGGAGGGTGGGTAGTGGAGAGAGGCACAAAAGGAAGAAACTATAGCTAAGTCATTATGAGGGTGGCAGGGGGAGGGACTCTATATAGCTGTTGAGACTTGCTGGAAACCATAGAAGGGAGGACTTTTCTGTCAGGCATTTGGCAAAGCCTGTGGGAGAACAAGGAAAGCTAGACATAGACCCCTCCCCTTACACCATCACCCACCCGCCCACAGAAAGTGCCATAGGGCAAAACGTTGGAATAAGAGAGGAATGTCCTAAATTAAAACAAGAAAAGAAAAATGCCTCTCTAGGAGTTCAAATAAAGTTTCATTTTAAAAGCATGAGATATGGGCCCTCCCTGTGGCTCAACAGGTTGGAGCGCTGCACTGCAAAGGTAAGTCAAGTCGTGGCTGTTTCAGTGGAAGTTCGATCTCCAGCTCCATAGGTGACCCACATGGCACAGCAGACCTCTCCTGTCCCACCCGCTGCTCCCTTCAGCAGTGTACTTTGTCGATCTGCCTGTTCTACTCCCCACTCTGTTTCAGGTAAATTCTCTTGCCCCTCTTGCACCTCTGGCCTATACCCCATTTCTGTATGCATAAATAAATAAAATCTTAAAAAAAGAAAAAAAAGCATGAGATATAAACTCATCACCTTGGTTTATTACTGAGTGTTTTTTGAACTCCTCAGAAGGGAACCTTATGATTTATGGCTCCTCCTTATAGTCTTATAAATAGGAGGCAGGCAGCAGCATCAGCTGAGGAGTGAGCACCCCACAAGGATTCGGCAGGCCAGGCTCTGCCTCACTCCAGCCATAGGGCAAATTTCTTCAACTTTCTGCCTCTAGTTTTCACTTCATTTGAAGAGGCTGTTCATGGCTTCTTGCTCTTGTAATATTTTGAGCTTCTGTGTGTCATACTTACGAGCTCTCTTTGATGGTCTAGTTTGGAGAGATTCTGGTTGTAGCATTGAAAGACAGACTTTACATGTGTCTTTAAGTTCTACAAAGTTAACATAAAATAAAATTGACATTTCTGAACAGCTTGTATTGAAGGGGAGGGTT